GGATGTGTCGCTCAATTTCGTGGATTAGTTGAAGTTAGACATTAACACCGTTGGATACCGGTCAGCTCAGTGGTCTAGTTGGTTAATCGCTCGCGCGCGAAACTGATAGGCTCTGGGTTCGAATCTCGCTAGGAGGAGTCGTGGATGCGCACTGCTGAGGGGTCCCACAATAGGACGAAACGGCCATCCGGTGCTTCCAGGTTTCCCATGGTGGTCTAGCTTCAATTGACTCATGATATGAACTGTTTGGATTAGTTCTTTTTATTTGTACTGTATTTTACTATTTGTAATAACAAGTATAAACTAGTATGAAATTCACATAAGAAACACTGTTACTATTGAATTTTGGTCACACAATGTTAGGTTCAAACAAATATACATATTTAGTATTAGTCATTTTATAATATATACAATGATAATAAATATGATTAGAGTGATGCATTAAATTATCAAAAATGTCAGTCAATCAGTCAGTCAGCTAAAATGTAGGACGAGGTATATATCTGCATCGGTCCAAGTTGCCACACCTCATTAGTACAACAAGATGAACACCGAATTCATAGAAGGAGTTACGTCAATGGTAGTAATATATAGATGAAAGATTGTGTATAAAGAAGAATTATTTGATAGAAAGAAAGATATAAAGCAATTTTAATCTCATAGTTTAAGGGAAGACAAAGAGTGTATACACTGACGCTATTGTGATCAATTCTGAGCCATGTCACACAAAGTCTCCAACTATTGGTTACGATAGGCGCGTGGGCTTCAGCAAAGTAGTCTGTATCTATTAACATGGCTCAGACCAGAAGTTAGTGACTTCAAGGACTCGCGAATGTTTGCATAATTGTAAATTTCAGGATTAAATATATTACAATTCTCTAAAAGGCAGTAATCAGGTTCATCTCTAGTTTGTTATCTTCATTTCTATGTTTAACTGATTCAAGATCAGCGATTTCATAATTATTTTTTATCCAGGAACTAATTTTGGAATAATCTAGTAGGAAAGTATGACTTGTGAACTAGATCAAGTCTTAAGTGAGCGACAGTGGATGATTATTGATTTACATTATCGAAGTAACTAGAATTTAAACGATTGGCTTCATAATTAAATTTTGAATTATCTGAAACCTTCAAGTTCTACACACAATCCTATTTGAAGCCGTCAGTTTCCACTACTACGAACTGCATATTAATAAGAATTGGTTATTCAATGCTTCTCAGTTTATAATTATTCAGTTGATATAAATTTATTATTTTTAAACAACAGCATAAGTGAGCTGGAAGTGTTAAATCTCAGTTTATCGACAAGTGAAATTCAGGAGACAATAGTTAGCCTATTCAAACTAGTATCAGACTCTTCAGAACTATGTATTCATGACTCCATCAGACATCGAACCCAAGACCTTCAGACCCTGCAGTAAGTATTTATTTATTTATTTAAACACATAAACATTAGTACAAGGAGGCCCCCAATACATATGCGCCACACAAATCATTCGATTTGTGTGAGGGCTCGGATACTGCCTGGGTGCCTAAACCGAATCTGACGGTTTTCTTAGGGGGCCACAGCCGGAGCTTTCAGCCTAACAGTCTGATCCACAAGGCGCTGGGGCAACGTTAGGAGATGCAGTCTCATGGTAGACAGTGACCAATAATTGCTTCATACGCTATTTGTTTTGGAGCCAGCCCATGTGCACCATTGGTTTGGAATCAGTGTTTTCCAACTGCCCTAGGTAAAACCTGAGTGTCCATTAACCCGTTTAAAGCGCCGGACATTGGCTTTTCGTCCTCTGAATTTCGTAAACAAGAATAATGCCGCGAGAAGACAGTGAGTAGGACTTCACTTTCAGTGGCTGTATACGCGTGGCTATGTGGGAGCATCCGGAGAGAGAGAACTGACTCTCCCCACTCTCGACTGTTACTTACTTACTTACGCCTGTTACTCCTAATGGAGCATAGGCCGCCGACCAGCATTCTCCAACCCACTCTGTCCTGGGCCTTCTTTTCTAATTCCATCCAATTCTTGTTCATTCATCTCATGTCTGTCTCCATTTCTCGCCGTGATGTGTTCTTTGATCTTTCTCTTCTCCTTTGGAATTCAGGATTCCATGTGAGGGCTTGCCTTGTGACGCAGTTGGGTACTTTCCTTAATGTGCGTCCTATCCACTTGCAGCACTTCTTCCTGATTTCTTCCTCCGCTAAAATCTGGTTTGTTCACTCCCGTAGTAGGTTGTTGCTAATAGTATCCGGCCAACGGATCCGAAGTAGTTTACGTAGATAACTGTTAATAAACACTTTTATCTTCTTGATGATGGCTTTCGTAGTTCTCCAAGTTTTCGCCGCATACAGTAGAACTGTCTTGACATTTATATTGAAAATGCTGACCTTGGTGTTGGTTGACGGTTGTTTTTAGTTCCAGATGTTCTTCAATTGTAAATATATTGCTCTTGCTTCACCGATCCTCGCCTTGACATCTGCATCAGATCCACCTTGTTCATCAATGATGCTGCCCAAATATGTAAATGTTTTTACATCTTCCAAATTTTCTCCGTCAAGCGCGACTGGTTTGTTGCGTACTGTGTTGTATCGGAGAATCTTGCTTTTCTCTTTGTGTATATTGAGACCTACTGCTGCTGAGGCTGCTGCTTCACTGACTCTCGACTGTACCTGCAGTAATTACCGAATCTGAAGATAGCTGATTGGGTATTCAATTGTATACTTTTCTAAATTGATTCAATTCGCAATATTTGTCGCACATCTGATATTGTCGAACTCCGTTAGTCATAGCTTCTTTGTAGAACTCCGAAGATCTACCCTCAAAGTTAGCCACTAGTCACCATGTGATATTGTTTATCATTATTATGAGATATTGTAAATTAGTTTAACACTTGTAATTTACAGTATTACTTATCTTAGATTTTGCTTTACATTTATTTCATTGCCATTATTATTGGTTGAGTATACTGTAATCTATCGATTCATATCTAAGTATAATAACGCTAATATTAATAATGGTCACTTAGCTCATTATTATCTGTTTCGTATAATATTAGTATTCTCTGTAATGTTTATATATATATAGCCCAGATATTCAAACACACTGTCATATATATATGAGGGTGTAAAAATAAACAACATTGTTAACAATGAAGATACAATCAGAATACAATGTAAATTTCACCACTAATTCAATTACTTTTTTTACATTTTTTGTTGTTGATAAAAACAGTAAACGTTAGAAGTAAAAAAAAAGAGACACTGTAAACAAACTGAACATGATAAACTTTTAAAAGAAACAAGTATTTACATATCCTGTTCAATTACATAGCTAAACAAGTTCAGTAAATTTAAAGATATATGACAATACATTAACATCGTTGGATGCCGACTCAGTGATCTAGAGATTAAGCGTTCACGCGCGCCCTGGGTTCGAATTCCGCGAGCAAGATCGTGGATACGCACTGCTGAAGAGTCCCACAATAGGACGAAACAGTCGTCCATTGCTTTCAGGTTTTAAATGATGATCTAACCAGTTAAATATTCTCTAGGATTGATAAGTCTTGTTAATTCGAACGCTTTATTCGGTTCCTAAGCTATTCTGGTAACCTGCAAGCTAGAACTACACAGCGACCTGAACTCGAGAGAAAAGGCGCAAAATAAGCGAAAAACACTTTACTCCAAAGGTTCATTTTTGTACAAAAAACACGGGTATTTATAGATGTTAACATTTGTTAAATCAACATCATATTTTGGTCAATCCGCTAAAAGACATATTATGCTACTGACCAATAGTAGCACAGCACGTTGGTATTCTAGAAAGCTCCCTCATGCTCTGATTGGCTAGGACTCTTCGACTATTTTAGGGCCTCTGGAGGCTCCGTTGTAGTTCTTAGAAAGCCGACTCAACAAGGATACGATTCAAACCTGTAACTTAATTGTTAATATTACAAATTATATTCAAATCATTGATTCCTTTATCCACAATGAACTAGTACAAACAATACGTAGAATGAGAAAAACAATCCGTATATCAAAGAATCCTTGTATTCACCTATAGATTTTCAAAAAAAAGAAAAGAATTTAATAAATTTGATTACGTTTTCTTAAATTCCCGGTTCTGAAAACCCCTCGAAACTTACCTTTCTCCATTATACATGTGTCTTACCAATCTGAATATAAAAATTTTGTTGTTTATCACAGTGAATTATCAGGATTTTAGATCTACAATAAAATCATGTGATTAAAATTTTTATTTAATAGTTGAATTCGTAAGTTGATTAAAACTAGATAACTATGGAAAACCTGGAAGAACAAGACGGCCACTTCATCTTAGTATGGAACTCCTTAACAATGTGCATCCATGCGCCTACCTCACGAGATTCGAACCCAAAACATATCAATCTCGCGCGTAAACGCTTATCCTCTAGACCATTGAGCTTGCCGACACCCAACGATGTTAATGTCTAACTTCAACTTTAAGATCCAAACTAAGGTTTGGACTGAAGAATAGCTGTCTAGGTGAGTTAGATACACGCCCTTGCCCGTTTGAAACCAAAACAAAGTAATTGGGTAAAATGACGTCTGTATACAAGATACACCATACCATAAGCTATTTTAGCAGCCATCATAATTAAACATTGCATATCTAGTGCATGACCTTCAGGAGATCGTAAGTAGTTTAGCAAAGAACCTTTGGACATATATAGAAAGGTTTTGTTTGTGTACAAACAGCGTACAATTGTATCAGATTAGGATGATGTAAGCGTTTCATTGTTTGAGCTTCACGAAGAAAATCAGCAGCATCACAAGAACTTGGCTTTAGCATTTTCACAGCAACAAATGTTTTATTCCATACAGCTTTAAATACTTCACCGAACTAACCTTGTCCAATTTTTTCTTTCAAAATAGTTGAAGATTTTGGAATTACCCATTTATCAATAAGTTTTTTGTAAAAGACCTACAGGTTCTGGATGAGTTGGTCGAATACATGGTCTTCCCAATCAACAAAATAAACCAAATTGATTCTCTAAATAATGATTGACTAGCTGTTGAATATTAACAAAAGGCAGTTGTTTTGAAATGTATAAACGTTTTAATGTACGATCAGTTCGTGAATATCTTGTTCGAATACGATCATGCTTAACAGTATTCTCTTCTCGTACTGATAAAGAATATTCATTGGATTGAGATTCACTGATTCGAACCAAAAAAGAGCCATGATCATTTCCCGGAAGTTGAAGATAATGTTCAGCTTCAATGCGTTTCAATTCTCTAAAATACCATTCATTGGATTCTAGACTGGTAACAGCTGCTAAATGATTTTTGGGTACATTATCCTTGACTACCAGTAGATACACATTCCGCATACCACCAATCATAGTGTGAATTATCGAGTATACTAAATATTTGTACTTTGGTCATATTCAAATCATCATCTATACGTTTAATGTAATCATGCAAAGCGACAAATTGCCCTTCTTTAGATATCTGGAGTGAAGTATGTGATGGGTTATTTCGTATCTGTGCAGCTGAATTGTTTAGGAAGTTGGCAGGCTTTTGAATTGGTGAAAAGTTCGTTGGCTGATGAGTGTTAGGTAGACATGATGAATTTCCAACAGGTGATTTATCACCAGTAGTTACTGGAACACCCACAAAATCACTTGTTAACTTCACTCCCTTGATTTACTGAACTGCGTCGGGAAAATAATTAGTATTATAGGGTTGGTAGCATATCTGATCAAAGCTTTGTGAAGAATCTGGTACTATCGCTCCTGGAAGCATAAAATTGGATGAATGACCATTATTGAATGAAATTTTAGAAGGGAAAATAGGTCCTCTTTCGACTACAGACCGAAGTGATAGTTCAAACATAGGCATAGAAGCGTCATTAGGAGTAACCGTCATTCAATTGTTTTGATCATTATTAGACGAATTCGAATTTCCCATAACTATCCACTACCATTAAAGAACAAAAGGGTAAGCTTCAATGATTATAGTAGACATGTTTAATCCACCATTGTCATCAATGAGTTACTATCTCACAACAGACCCAATTGAACTGGCTAAAACTTCAGGAAACATCTCTTAAATCCTATCACTAGTGAACATATGTTGATTAATATCAGAAGGGTTTTTTTGTGAATATTATAGTAATTTCAATAGTTGAGATCATAAATCAATTGAAGCTAGATCACCATGGAAAACTTGGAAGCACTGGATAACCGTTTCGTCCCATTGTAAGACTCCTCAGCAGCACGAATTATTATTATTTATTATCATTTATTTAACCATTAATTCGGCAAATTATTTTCCAAAACATATTTCATTTCTATTATCTATTCAATATTTTAATTAACTGATAAATGTCAATTATAAAAATTATTTGTTTGTTTTGTTTCCTTCTTTCAAATAAATGAAAGAAGAAACAATTTGATGACATAATATAAATTTTTTTTAATAATTTATTTATTTATTTGTTATTTAATAATTAATAAATCACCATTGAATATAGTGAAAACGAAACACATTTATTATTACTATTATTATTCTCATAATTTTGTTTTAATCGGTCAATTTCAATGTTCAATGTTTCATGAACTGAAACATTGAATGTTCACAAAAATAAGAAACAAACAAACAAACAAACAAAGAGGATGAAACTAGTTATTTATTAGTTCATTTATCATTTCAATGATGATTTATTATTATTACTAGTTTAATGCCTACTGTTTTTTTTAAACTTGTAAACATCTTCAAAGATTATGACATAGATTCCTTTTCTATTTTATACAAAGATCCTTATGAATGAAGTAAATAATTAACAAAGTAATTATTTCTTTTGAATAAACAATTTAGACAGTTAGTTATCTACTTTCATTTTTGTAATTTAAGTTATATCTTGTGAGTTGTTTTGTTTATTTCTTTGTTTGTTTTTTTTTACGTTTTGGTTTTGGCTCCTAATAAGAATTTGTCTTTTAAACTTGTAAACATATTCATGACCATCTCATGTTGTTGCTTACGTTGTTCCTCTCTCTCTCTCTCTCTTGTTCTCCCTCTTTTATTCATGGTCTTGTTTATTGTTCATTTCAATATTATAGAAAATGACCATTCTAAGTATAGATTTCAGATGTGCAGATGTTAAATAAATTAACAGCTGATTAAATACTATATATATATATATATATATATATATATATATATATATATAACATTAACCACAATGTTTCTGCTATTACTGCTACTGATGATGGTGATGATAATGATGATGATGGTAAATAATTCATTCTAACAAATACATTGAGAAATAATGAATATTGAACTATTGAATTAGATTAATTTTCAATGTTCAAGAGATTTTGTTTTTCTATTATTATTAAATTTTTTTTGTAATATTAATGAAAAGATATAAATATCACTTTTTAATAATAAATTGACACAAACAAACAAGAGTTAAATTTATTTGGTATTCTTTTTTAACTCGTAACTTTTCCCATTGTATTTAAGATTGTAATTGATCAGTCTGATGTTGGCATATGTACATCTTGTGCAGATTGTTTTGATATAGCTTTTTATGCAAAAATGGATAGTGACTAGTAGTGGAATTCAGTTTAATGCGCAATTCATCTCATTTGAGACTCGTCAACTGCATGTACCTAAATCCCTAAGTTGATGTTCACTCTGGGACTCGAACCAAGTATCGTTCACTTCAAACTACATCGTGTTCCCCATTTAGCTATTGAGTCCTGATAACCACTTGCTTTTGCAACAGGGTGAAGTTTAAATTCGCTTGGTATTGTTTTAACTTGTAACTTTTCCCACTGTTATTTAGGATTGCAATTGATCAGTTTCACGTTGGCATATGTGCATCCTGTGCGGATTGCTTTGATATAGCCTTAATTCATAAATTTGTTATGCAAAAATTGACAGTAGCTAGCAGTGATATCCAGGATTCACGTTTCGTCCTATTTGAAACTCGTCAGCTGGATGTACCTGTATCTCAGAGTTAATGTTCACTCTTGAAATCCAACCCATTACCGTTGGCTTTAAACACCATCACGTTATCCACTTAGCTACTGGGTCCTAATAGCCACCATCTAGTGCAATGGAGTGAAGTTGAAATTCATTTGATGTTGTTTTTACTTGTTCATGTTACACTGAATGAAGGTTAATGATATTGATGAATTAAAGTTAAACTGTATATGAGTTTCATTTTTCACTTTTTATACTTATATTATTACTATTGTTATGAACAAGAACATCAAATGGGGAACAATCAAATGTGTTATAATATAACATCACAAAATATCTTGATAAAAAAAATTGAGAATCATACAGTAAATACTTCATTTGCAAAATAATCATCAATTGTCTCAAACTTGATTGTTCCTTTGTTTCCATACTAATCACTTTCTGTTCTCAATCTCTTCACTTTGATTGTCTCACTATTCTACCTTCAAGCATTACACTTTCAATTAGTGATCCATACTACTTATATCAGTCGACATCAGTAGCATACACCACAGTATCATATATTTCTGTAATAAATAATGATTAATGAATATTATTAGATTCTTTATCAAAATTGTTATATCTTGAAAAGCTGATTTTCTCGATATACCGCGTATAACAGAGCACTAGAACACTAAAACCCTTCCAAGTCGCAATAAGAAGACAGAAGACTAACGAAAGGAATATTATTCCAAACAGTGTCAATCATAGTACAAAATTGTCAAGTATTTATAGTTTTTAGCGAGAACAAAATCATCATTACAGTCTTCCAACCCGCATACAGGGGGTTATTAGCATTATCCAATCGGGAAGCTACACGTTGGAATTCTAGAACATTCTTCCGAAAGGTGATTGGATGGGACGTCTTCGGCTCCTTCTGAGCCTCTTACAGCTTCCTCGAGTTCACCGGTGGTCCGTCGTCCCAAAAATATAAGAATAGAGATGCAGTTTCAACATTGATAACCTAACATTTTCATTTTCAATCTAAATTTGAGAGTAGACTTTGAAATTTTGAATTCGTATAAAACCAGTTTTATTTTTTTACATAAATTAATTCGTAAAAGAAATAAACAAAATAAAATATCTACTTTGAAAGCTACATTCCATCAGTGAAACTATTCAGGAAAACTCTTGAATGAATCGATATGGAAAACTTGATCTAATGGTTTTCTACTGTAGTACATCAGTGGTACCATTGAAACTTAGTGGTTTTAAAATTACATTAATTTAAGTTTTGGAATGTGAAATGAAGAGCTTTTTATTTCACCGACAATAACGAAATATACTAGAGTTTTCTCATCATTTGATATTACCTACTGTTTGCAATTCAATTTTGAAAAACATTCTAACAGATACTATAGTGTATTCTACTTATATTGACAGATATAAGTAGTATGTGATACCAATTAGAAGTGGAATGCCTGTCAAGAAGGATTGAGAAGACTGAACTGAAAAGAAAACAGAATTGAAAGAATCATGATTTATGTAAAGAATAACTTAAAAGAGATATACAAATGAAGTAATTAATATATGTTTTCCATCATTTCAAACTGAATAGTAAATTAATCTGTCCTACCTGAATGTTTATTCACTACAATACTAGTGATAGAAATAAATAGTTTATTATTACTCTTACCAATTTTTGACACTTATTAAACATACGTAAACAATTCAAACAATGAATGATTATGATTTCAAAAGTAGTCTACTCAGTAGTATACTCAAATCAACTAAATTTTTCTGGATTCCATTATACACATCGAATAAACATTGTAGTGAACACAAGTGCAGACAATCGACTGTATTTGAACATGAAATTACAAAATATCTTATTAAAACCTGCAAACAATACAGTAAATACTTAGTTTGTAAAATATCAATCCATTGTCTCAAACTTGACTGAATCCTTTTACAAATATCAGTTTATTGTCTCAAATTTCATTGCTCCTGCATTTTTATACCAATTGCGTTCTGTTCCCGTTCTTTCCTTTTCGATTTTCTACTGAAATATATTCTGTGCTTGACCACTGTTATATACTACTTATGTGGATATAAGTAACCCACACTACAACATGAGTTAATCATTATCATTATGACGTTTTTAAGATACCATACTCATTACAAAACTTTAATATTTATCATTCCATATATAATAGAACAAACGTATTTACACATTAGTGAATACTTCTATACCAATTGATATCATTATATCATCTAGAATAAAGTCACATATTTTCACAATATCTGATTTCTAAATGAAACATGTATATGAAGTAATCAGATAATGTAATTTATTGTTTTAAAAAAACATTGATTCAATTCGGTATCCAGTTGTATTTTGTTTCGTTTTTTTTGCTTTTGTTTTGAATTC